TACAGAAATATACCACACAAATTAATTGTAAGAGAGGACACACACAGACTGCAAATTCTCAACACAAAGGAGATTTATCGCCCTGGATGGGCAAGCGGGGAGGGTGCAGAGGCATACAGCAGCAGCAGCAAGTGTTTTCTGCAGGAGTGGCATTTTAAGGAGAGAAAGGGTGAGTTGGTAAACCCTGACTGGGCACATTAGCCGAATGATGACTTTTGATTACTGGGCTTTTGGTGTTTCATCTCGGGAATGGGTCAGTGGTCAGATAAGGGAGTGGGCCTTGGGGGCTAGCTTTAGGAATGCAATCTAACAGCTGGAAACAAGGGAGAGGGGGGAGGGAGAAAGGGGGACACCTGTTAGCACCACCTGTGTCACATGTGGAAGGAGAACATCAACCCCTCCAGCATGTCCTCTGACTGGCACACATGCACTGTGGCATGGGCAAATACACACACAACACATGAAATTAAGGAAATGTAATTAAAAACATTATGTAGTCAGAAGGTGATGAATTTAAAGAAACTTTTAATGAAAATATCAACATGTTGGCATATGAGCACAGTGCTCATCAAAGGTGGTATTCGTGCAAAAGGACCAACATGCTGTAGGTAAATAGAGCTGTCTTCTTCCTGCTCTCAAGCCAAACTCTCCTCCAGACCTTGGGAACAATGGAAGTAGATTCCTCTGCTCTCACGGTAGCCAGCAGATGTAGCCCTGTCCTTTTTTAAAGATTTATTTATTTACTACGTATAATTAAAGATTTATTTACTATGTATTCTGTCTGCTTGTACACCTACACCTGCAGGGCAGAAGAGGGCACCAGATCTCATTATAAATGGTTGTGAGTCACCATGTAGTTGCTGGAATTGACCTCAGGATCTTTGGAAGGGCAGCCAGTGCTCTTAACCTTTGATCCATCTCTCCAGCCTGGCCTTGTCCGTCTTTATTGGCTCTTTGTCCCTTACCCATTGCCTCTTACCCAGAATCCAGTACCAGGGCTAACTATGTGCCCACAGTTCATAACTAGGTACCCAATGTGGGTGAGGATAGACCAGCTTCTTCTGTAGGGTCTGCAACTGAGAACACCATGGAAATCCAATTCATAGAGTCCCCATGTTTCAGGGCTAGTAAAAATGGCTTTGCTATCTCTCATGGCTGTGAAGCCCACACATGGGCTTGCTTCATCTGAGGCTAGAAGCGCATGTACCAGATTTCTGGCATCTTCTGTGTTTGGTTTCTTTTTTAATCAGATATTTAGTGTTAGAGCCGCAGCAGCTGACATTGGGGCAATCAACTCCTTTCCATGAGCTGTATGATAAGTCGGAACATGCAGTCCCGGCTCAAGTCACCTGCCAACCCCTGGGCAAGGGAAGGTCAGTCCCACCCAGACTACTCCTGGCCTGAGAAGGAGGATCCCCCAAGAGAACGGAATTACTCAACTAGAAATGGAAACAGCCCTGGGGGAGGCCGTCCCTTCTCCATACCCCACAACAGCCGCTGTATTCTGAAGGGCATTGTATTTTGGGCCTCCCCTTTGTACTTTGTTCTAATCCTCCATCTGGCTACCTAACCCATGATCACCTTCTGGGCATCCTGCCTGTGACTGGCTTCTTTACCTCTAGTTTCCAGCAGGACTACCCAGGAAGTTGGCTGTAGCCCAAAGAGGAGCCACCTGTTCCAGCCTGCTTCCTGTACTGTGCTCTTTGCAGAGTGGTGTCTGTGTTGATTGGTGGTAGTCTGTGGGCAGGGACTGGAAACATGCAGCAAGGAAGAGGTATAAACATAGCTCCAACAGGGCCCAAGATCTCACTATTCTTGCAAGTTCCAGTGGGGTGATTGGGGCTGTAGTGCTTTAACAAAGCCAAGTCCTGAGTCTGTGCTGACATAGAAGTAGGGACTATCCTAATTCAATTGGGAGAAAGCTGCAGCAAATAGGGGCAGCATGGAATGAGGTGCTGGTGGGAGCACCTTGGGGTCTCTATGGGCAGCATCGTTCTCCTTTCTTTGCTTTATTGGCTTAGAAATATTGGGTGGGAAGTAGGGCCTCCTGCCACCAGCCTCCTCTGATCCTGCTGAGGCTGGGATTGCCTTTTCCTGTCCTTGTCCTCCCTTGTTCTCACCTAAGATACCATAGACAGAATCATCCAGACTGGATAGAACAAAATCCTTATCCCCATAACCAGGCTCAACCCTGTGGAGAGAGAGTAGCTTTCTCTCACATGATGGGAAGCTGATAGAGTGCTGTCCTAGCCAGGAAAAGGTCAGTACTGGTGAGCCCCTGGCCCGCTGGAAGGCACCTGGCCCCAGGACAAGCTTGAGGCATGGATGAGTCAGATCTAGGGGAAGGGTCTGGCTAGTGTGTTTTTCAACTCAGCTAACTGTGCAACAGCTTGTCTTAGTCAGCACTCTATTGCTGTGAAAAGACACCATGTCACAGAAACTCTTATGAAAGCAAATGTTCAACTGGGGCTTCCTCACAGATTCCGAGATTGGTGGTATGCATGGTGACACACAGGCAGACATGGTGCTGGAGAGGCAGCTCAAAGTTCTACATCTAGAGCCATAGGAAACAAGAGAACACGGGCTTCAATGTCCACTACCAGACACACTTCCTCCAACAAGGCCACACCTACTCCAACAAGGTCACCTGATCGTGCCACTTACTAGTGACCAAGCATTCAAATCTATGAGTCTATGGGGGCCATTCCTATTCAAGCCACTATCTAGCTCTTCCTGCATCCCTCTAGTGTGGCCAGACCTTTGGCTACTTTATTTGGTTCTTGTTCCTAACTCCCTACACCACCCTTGTCTCTTCCAACCCCCCCCCCAACACTAGGTAGGAGAGAAAGAAGGTTAGAGGGGAAAGAGGCATTGGTCTCCTTAGACTACTTTCTGCTGATTAGCAGCCTCAAGTTCCTTGGGGCAAGTTTGACCTTCATCCTCAGGATATCTCCAATCTGCAGTCTAGCAAACAGCAGGGGGGTCAGCAGCCACAACCCTTTCTTGGGGTTTTGGCATTTATAAGAGTCTCCAGAATTCCAAACATAAACTATCTCCAGCTGGAAAAATCACTCACCTGCTAGAGCACTAAGCAAATCATATTCAGCTGCTGTGGACAGTCTGAAGCAGTCCCATATCCCAAACCTGGGATTAAAACAAAAACATATTCCTGTAACATTTCTCTGCTTTTAAAGAAACCAAAAATTCTCAATACAGTCTAGCTCTGCTTCCTGATGTGGCGTGGGATGAGCACTTGGCTGTCTTCATTCCAAAGATTGTGCTGCCTGGTCCATCTCTTGTGCCCATACCTATGTGCAGAGGAACTCTGGTGCCTGTATTTTCAGCTGATGCCTGCAAGACAACTGAATAAAGGTCTGGGTGGCTCTGGACATGACATGCAGGGCCTAAGGTCGGCACCATTTCCTACTTCACTGAGGAATTCCTGGGACCTTTTCCAATGATGAGGCTAGAGTCTGAGCCTGGGGTCTGCCCAGCGTAAGGGGAAGAAATGGGTGAGGGAGGTGATGGGAGGCAGGAAGTTATCACTTAACACCTCTGCCTCCACTGGGAGCAGAGATCTTTGCTGACCCTAGCCAAGGATCCTACAAATTGGAGAGGCCTAATGTTGTGATTGGGTTCTTGCAAGTTAGTGATGAGGTGAACAGGGACTGCATGGAGGCTTCTGACGTTGACCTCAAGCTCAGTTACTGCTCCTAAGGCTGTTGTTTCTTGGGTTTTTAGAACGGTTAGGAAATGGGCTGAGAAAGGGCTCTGTGGGTGTGGGAACACAATGGTCTGCACAGAGGGGAGACACAGTAAACGCTGCAGCCCACCTGGACCTTCCTTTTCCTTTCACAGCCAAGGTCGCCTCAAAGGTATCATAAGGAGGTCAGTATGCCCAGAACCGTCGGCTGAGGCCCTACTCACTCTCCCGTTCAGTGCACAGTTGCCCCTCAACAGCAGGGCTTTTGGCACTAGCAGGTTCTGGCTTCACCCTTAGTCAGCACAAGCAGCCCTAGTCAGCTGTCCTCTGGCCCAGAAAGCTATGAGACTTGAGGCTGGGCAGGGGTGGGACTCCAGTGTTCCTGGAACCTAGCATTTCTTCCCTTCCCCCTGTGGAGCAGCATAGCCACTGCCCAGGGTGAGCCGATTCTGCTTTGTTTTTGTTTTTGAGACTGGTCTCAAGTTCCGATAAAGCAGCAGTCAAGGATGGCCTTGACCTTCCTGATCCGAGAAGTGGCAGTACAGGGTTAGGCCATCATAACTCTTCTAGCGTACTTGTTTTTACTTTTTATCTTGTTTTCATTTTGAGGGCCTCACAAAATCGCCCAGGTTGACCTTGCACTCATTCGGTAGTCCGAGTACACTATCTTTTAAGCAATCTGAATTCTTCTGACGGCACCACCTGCCTCAGGGTGGGTTGTTTTTGTTGTTGTTTGTTTTGTTTTTTTTGTGGGGTCGTTTTTTTTTGGCCAGTCCCCGCCTCCTCACAAGCCAACGACAACGACAGGAAGGAAAACTGAAGGGTCAGAAGAGGCTGGTCCGACCTGCAGCTTCTCTTCAGGTATGCAGAATTAATCATTTTTCACCAAGCCAAAGCCTTGTCTCAGGCTTCCCTCCTTAGTGGAAGCTATCCATTCCAATGATGCTGGAGCTCAGGGTTACACTTCAGTCCCTGCGCCCCTTGGTCAGAGCTGACGGGACCCTGACCAACTGTGACAGGGCCACTGTTCAACGCGTGCCTGCCGGGGGACCACGTCCGTGGGATGTGGCCCAGAGAGGGTTAAGGGGGCGGGACGTGGGGCAGCCCCGCCTTTGCCGCTGGGTCCGAGCGCGCACCGGGCGTGGGCGTGGGGCGGGTCGGAGCGGGTGGCAGCGGAGGGCGCTGCGCGGGACGAGCGCGGCAGCGGCGGCGGCGGCGGCGGCGCGGCCCGCGTGACCCTCTGCCGCGCCCTGTGCGCTCGCGAGCCCGCGCCCGGTCGCGCAGGCCCAGCCGCAGGATGCGCGCTCCGCCGCTGCTGCTGCTGCTGGCCGCCTGCGCGCCGCCGTCAGGCGCCGCTGTGGACCCGACGCTGCCCGGCTGGGAGCCGGCCTCCGACGCGCCCTGGTGCCCCTACAAGGTGCTGTCCGAGGGTCCCGAGGCGGGCGGTGGGCGCCTGTGCTTTCGCAGCCCTGCTCGGGGCTTCCGCTGCCAGACGCCCGGCTGCGTGACGCTGGCCTCGGCGGGTGGTTCGCTGCGCGCCCACGTCCTGCGCAACCGCAGCGTGCTGCTGCAGTGGCGCCTGGCTCCAGCTGAGGCGCGCCGCGTGCGCGTCTTCGCGCTAAACTGCTCGTGGCGTGGCACCTACTCGCGCTTCCCGTGCGATCGCGTGCTGCTGGGTGCCTCATGCCGAGACTACCTGCTGCCCGACGTGCACGACAGCGTGCACTACCGCCTGTGCTTGCAGCCACTGCCGCTGCGCGCGGAGCTCGCCGCCCCGCCAGAGCTCGCCGAGTGCGTGGAGTTCACCGCCGAACCCGCAGCTATGCAGGAGATCGTGGTGGCCATGACGGCGGTGGGCGGCTCCATCTGTGTCATGCTGGTGGTCATCTGCCTGCTGGTGGCCTACATCACCGAGAACCTCATGCACCCGACCTTCCGGCGACCCAGTCTGCGCCGGCAGTCCTGAAGCGCAAGGCGATCTGCCCACCAGGGTTCCATCTGCCCAAGTGCGCTGAGACCCTAAGGCCCTCTCCCTGCTTTTCTCCCTTTCCTTCTCCCTCTTTAGGAGCCCCATGGAGGGTTTAATGGAGACTAGCCCATGCAGGGACCTTGGCATCATCCCACGACCTTGCCAGCCCCAGCTGGGTATCTGCCTTCCAGACTCAGGCCTCAGACTGGCCTGTAGGCATGGGCTAGAGTGTCAGCCGCGTCCAGGGGTCTGCCCCAGCTTCAGAGGCCTTTTAGGGTCAGCCAGAATATACCTTCCCTTCTGGCACGATCATCAGCCTCAACTTTCATCCTGTGCCAGGTTGTCAAAGCGTGGCTGTGATCGTTGCTTGGTCACTTTATGCTTTGCAGATTGGGAGGACTGAGCTCTGGAGCCTCTGCCCACCCTACCTTACCCCAGTGGGCTTAGGTTAGCTTTGTGCCTTAGTATCTTTGGCCCACTGCAGGAGCCACCCGGCATCCCTCATGGGGGTTTTGGTCCTGTGATTGGCTGGCTTATGCATGCTTTTGGCCAGAGCCCCGTTGAGGACACACCATCCTTGAGACTTTCAGGGGCCTGGGGCAAGAGTTCACAGGCCCTGTTTCGTCTTCCTATGTGGGTGTCCCAGAAGCCAAGAGCCATGATGTAGCTCAGCAGGCTGGGCCCAGCGCCCAGCTGCTGCATCCAGGGGTGAGTGGCCTCCACTTTAGGAGGCTGGGGCCTCACCCTTTCCTTGTACTGCCTTGATTAGGACTTTCCCAGGGTGTGGGTGGGGAGGACAGCTGAAGGGATCCCGAGAGCTGAAGGAAGGCTGCCAGCCTTGTCCAGCCAGACCCTTAACTGTGGTCTGGATCCCAAGCCTCAACCAACCTGAGAGACCTCAGTGGCCACAGTGCCACGCCACTGCCCTCAGCCCTTCTTACACTACAGTCTGAGAGCTGACCCCAGTGCTTGCCCTCCATCTGCATGGACAAGGCTGGCCTTGCCTATCTCCTGGCAGACAGGCACTTTGGTGATATCAGGCACTTTGTCTCTGAGCCTGGGCTCTGACCACTGGACATGACACTGGCTGTTTTCCCTCCAACTCTCACCCCAGCGACCACGGTGACCTGAGCCCTGGCTGGCAGCACCTGTGCCCTACCTCTTTGTCTCTGCTCTGCCCGCTCCCTGTGAGGCACTGGTCGGTTGCCTACATCTAAATGTCCATCACTCTCAGACCAAAAACGTTGTCTTGTGTGTTTATTTGGGATGTTGGAGGGAAGGTTATGGGTGAGGGAATGTAAGGTGGAGTCAGCTCCCCCAAGGGCCGCAAGCGTTAACCTTAAACCTTTTCCCACTGGGGATGGGAGGTGGCCAGCCCTGGGCAGTGTTCATGGTGAAGCTCTGGAAGGACAGGCAGAGCATCTGTGGCTTGCTTGTCCGCCGCAGACCTTGGGGTGGCATCTCTCTCTTCCTTTGCCAGCTCTGTGGAGCAGGAGTGCGGAGGTGGACCTGGCAGTGGTTAGAAATAGCCTGAGCACATGCTGATGACCCATTTGAACTGTGACAAGCAACATTTAGGCAGTTCTCAGAGGGGGTTCACCCCCCAGCATGGGGCTCCCCTCTGCATGCAGTGTTAGAGTTGGGGATGTGAGGAGGCCGGAATGAACCTGGGCCACAGTGTGAGCGCTCACTCTCCCGCCTGGAATGTCCTTGGGACTCTTACGCTCCTGTGACCCTGAAAAAAGCAAAAGACAGGGATGAGCCAGCTTTGACGAGTGACTCATCTAGAGGGAGGGGGAGGAGGGTTGGGGGAGTAGTGATGTGCCTAGACTCATCTGAGGGGCGGAGTACATAGCAGGTTGCCTGCACTGTCAGGGCAGAAACGGGAGGGGTTTGCAGTCCAGCTTCCCCCCACTGCTGTTCTTCAGGATTCTAGGCTATATATGAGGTGTGTTCTGGTGTCTTCAGCCAGCATGGGTAGAAGCTGGCACTCTGGAAATGCCCTGTCTGAAATACCCTAGCTCCCTAGGCAGAGTCTGATTCCAGAGTTCGATCCATGTGACCTCTTCTGGTGCTAAAAAGCCCTATGAGACCTCCCTAGGCCATCATACATAAGTCAGCTGCAGCTCAGTTAGCATTCTTTCCTAGCAATCTCCAGCACCGTATAAACTGGGCATTGAGGTGGATGTTTGCAATGCCACACTCAGGACATGGAGACTGGAGGATAAGAAAGTCAGCCGGGCATGATGGCACATGCCTGTAATCCCAGCACTCTGGGAGGCACAAGCAGGTGGGTCTCTGTGAGTTCAAGGCCCACCTGGTCTACAAAGTGAGTCTGGGACAGCTAAGGCTACACGGAGAAACCCTGTCTTGAAAAAACAAAACAAAAGTTCAGAGTCATTCTCATCTCTATGTTGAGCTAAGGGCAAGAAAGAAACAAGAATCCCCAGTTTACAAACAAGACATACATAGAGGAGTAAAATGTATCCATTAAATTACTGTTGGGGTTCTCTATAACTGCCTCAGATAAGAGCTATATCCCAGCCCAACCCTGCTCAACTGTGTGTCCCTTCTTGAAATTTTCAGTATGATTCCCCAGGGACATTTATACTTCTGCCCAAACCAAAACCCTCCCCTCTGTCTACCTTCAAAAACCTAGTCACAGCATGACTACCTTAGCCTACCAGAACGATCCCTGAACCTCCATGAAAGGAGTACCACAGCATTTCAGAATGCTTGGATGACCAGCTTCCTGCAGAACCTTCATGTTTTGAATTACATAGAAGCTAAGTCACTTTGCTAGGGCTTAGGACAGAAACATACCCTTTCAGGGAACACAGTGTAAACCCTACTAGTCACTGGATCTTGAGCACTTAAATGTGGCTTGTGTAACTGAGGAAGTGTTTGCTTTTGGGACTGGGACTTAGTGTGTAGCCCTGACTGCCCTGGAGCTTGCTATGGTCGACCAGGATGGCCTTGAACTCCCAGAGATCTGCCTGGTGCTTCCCATTGCTAAGATTAAAAGTGTGAGATTTAACTCATTAGTCAAGGATCGCTGTGAACTTTGATCCTCCTTCCTTGACCTCCCATGTGCTGAAGTAAATGGTTTTATATAATGCTGGGCATCGAACCTAAGGTTTTGTGTGTGTTAGGTAACCACCCCAGCAACTGAGCTACATCCCCATCCCAACTTTGAAGTTTCTAGTTATATCTTCAGCTTCTCTGATCTTCTGTTCTGAAATGCACAGTTTACCATTAATCCTATCCAGCATCTTTTTTTTCTATCAGACACCATAGCATGTATCACAAAAGAACAAATTGATAAACTTTATAAAAAATTTAAGCTAGGTTCTGCATTCAAACCCATAATCGCAGCAGTTGGAAGGTGGAGTCAGGACAATTAGAAGTTCAAGGCCAGTCTTGGCTACATGAGACTGTCTCAAACACCAAACACCGGTTGGTGAGATGGTTCACTAGGTAAAGGTGCTGGTCATGCTGGATGAGCTGAGTTTGATTCCTAGGACTTCTATGGTGGAGGGAGTGCACTGGAGGTTGGAGGCTGTTGTCAGACCTCAACATGTACATGGTCCATGGGCACACACAAAATAAATGCAAAAAATGTTATTGTAAATATCCGACTGTTGCCCAACATAGTGATGTACTTCCATAATCTCATCATTTAGCAAGCTGAAGAGGATTGTGTTGAGGCCAGCCAGCATTACAGAGGAAGACCCTGTCTATGCTGGGGATTGAAGTCAGGTCCTTGTGCATGTTGGGCAAATGCTCCTACCACTGAAGCTATGCCCCCATCCTCTCAACAGCTTTTCTTCTTTTTCCTTCCTTCCTTCCTTCCTTCCTTCCTTCCTTCCTTCCTTCCTTCCTTCTTTCCTTCTCTACATCCTCTCTCTCTCTTTGGTTTTTTTTTTGAGACAGGGTTTCTCTATGTAGCCTTGGCTGTCCTGACTTTGTAGACCAGGATGGCCTCGAATTCAGAGAAGTCTGCCTGCCTCTGCCTCCCAAGTGCTGGGATAACAGGCATGTGCCACTGTACCCAGCTGTCTATCATCTATCTGTCTATCTATCTATCTATCTATCTATCTATCTATCTATCTATTTTCTAATTTATGGAGACAGGGTCTCACTATGAAATTATAGCTGTGCTAGAACTTGTGGTATAGACTAGACTGGCCTTGAACTAAAAGACATCCCCCTGCCTCTGCCCTCAGAATGCTGGGACTAAAGGTATATGCCACCATGTCTGGCCCCTTGACTTCTTCTAAACCCAAATGTGAAGAATGCACACACACATAGTGTGGGCATAGTGGCACATGCCAGCACTCAGGAGGCCAAGGCAGGAAGATTACAAATTTGAACTTGCTTGGGCTTAACAGTGAGGGCTGTTAAAACCCAAAACTCAGAGCAAAATGAAAAACTCCCTTTTCTGTTCTACCCCCAGGTACTAACTCAGGAAAAATGAAAGTGTCTATATGCACAGTTCACACACAGATGCTTATGGCAGAAATGTGAGGTGTCTGTAGTAGCCCAGACTAGAAACAGCTCAAATACCCATCTGCAGGTGATTGAACAAAATATGGTATATCCAAACAATGGAAAGCAACTCAGCAACAAACATAAAGTAGCAAAGCTGACAATAACGAAGGTGAGGTGGGGTGGCACACAGCCTTAATTCCAGCACTTGGGACATAGGCAGTCAGATCACTGACTTTGAGACCAACGTGCTCTACAGAATGAGTTCCAGGTCTGCCAGGACTACACAAAGAAACCCTGTCTCAGAAAGAAAGAAAGAAAGAAAGAAAGAAAGAAAGAAAGAAAGAAAGAAAGAAAGAAAGAAAGAAAGAAAGAAAGAAAGAAAGAGAAAGAAAGAAAGAAAGAAAGAAAGAAAGAAAGAGAAAGAGAGAGAGAGAGAGAGAGAGAAAGAAAGAAAGAAAGAAAGAAAGAAAGAAAGAAAGAAAGAAAGA